CCCCGCCCCCTCCTCGGCTCCTCGGCCGCACCGCACGTTCTCCACCCCCAACACGGCACCGCAGAGCAGGGGTACACCCCTTCGCGGGGCTGACCGCCTATTGCGGGAGAGGGGTCGCCACCCCCAGACAATCTCCCCAACAGTCCGGCGAGGCGTTGGAGTAGGGAAGGGCGCTGGGCGTAGTGAGAGAGAGAGAGAGAGAGAGAGAGAGAGAGGGAGGGAGAGAGCGAGAAAAGGGCTGGAGGATGGGGGCGCATGGCACCACACGGCGCCGACCTGTTGCAGCTCTCTGTCTCTCTCTGTCTCTCACTTTCTCTATCCCTCTCTCCCTCCCCCCGCTCCCCTCTCTCTCACTCTACCTACCCCAGCCCAGAGCACAGCCCCCCCCCCCAAATCCCTCGCGCTTGCGCAACTACCCTCACGAGCAACCTCCTGGCGTACTGCGCCCCTGGTGTTGGATCTCGCACCGACCGCCCACGCTTCCGCGACTCGCTCGAAGGGGACTAGCGCGCCAAGCTCAAACGGCACGTCGTGGAGCTGCCCTAGCTGCCCCCAGCACCGCCCGGCCAAGGGCACAAGGTCCACGCCGGCCCACGTCCGCGACGGTGGCAGGGCTGTGACACGGCAGTGTTGGGCGCCCAAACCGCCCCACGCGCGGAGCGGGAGGAGCGAGCAGGCAAACGGCAAACGGCAGTGTTGTTGACTGCAGCGATACCTATGGGGCGACGAGACCTGCCCCGGCGTCCTGCAGCCGGTGGCGGTGCCCCTACGCGCAGCGTACATCATATTAGAGGCGCTTTCTTGAGAGTTTAAATATTCAAGATCGATCGACTTGCAACTGACACGCAAAGGAAAGGCGCCATGCGGCCGGGGGGCGCCTGCGAAGTGCAGGGTAGGCAACCCGGCAGGGCAGCCACGTGTAACGGGAGTGCCTGCCTCCCAGGCGCCCCGCCAAAAAAATATAAAATTAGAACAAAATGAAATAGCAGAACCGGACGCCTGTAGGACAGCGTTGTTGTGTTGCTCGTAAGCGACTTCGAGATGCCCCCCGTGTCCTGTCTCGCACACCTCCTCGCGAGGCTGCCGCCCGGCAGGACTCGGGTCGCTCGTCCGCTGGATCACTCCACACTGGCGTCACCCGAACGAGCGGCTCGGCCCCAACTCGGCCCTCCCGCTGGGAGCGAAAGCGCGCCAAGGTTCGAAACGCGCCCGTTCCGCGCGGCATGTTGTCGGCTGCTCGATCGATCGACTCTCGGGTATCTTCCGCC